GATGAATTTCTAACCAATAGAACGCGTGCTCGAGTCCCCGGGCAACAAAACCTCCGTTTGGGGATGGCTGGTTGACGACGTCTAATAAGCCAGAAATAGTCATTTAGGTATCACCTTGTCTTTGTTGATAATGTTATTACGCCTATATTACTAGTCACTGACGGGTTCTAAATTTGACCCCAGGGTACAATGTGACGACTATGTCCTGTAACGCGATTGGTGGACGTCCCTCTATTAGGCCATAAGAGCTCAGTCGGCAGAACCTTCAAAGCAAATTCGACAACGTTAGCGTTTCAAATCTGCCACAGGCGGACCGACTTCTAGCTGAGCGAGTTTGGTTCTTCGAAAGTCTGTGATCGATACTTAACAGTGTTCACCAGTCGAGTCAGTAACCCCGAGCAATCTCTTCGCATCACGCAGTTGGAACTGATGAAGTTCATCGATTGAGGTGACCAAGGAGAGAAAATTTCAACAAAAAGAGAATGTGCATTACGAAGCCAACGGAAACTGGACTTACCAGCAGCTGGTTTTAAGGGCGACTAAAGTTATGTGCTCTCTAAACATCTCGCCCTGCCTTTTACAGTGGGTGTGGTCGAAAGGAACTGTGAAGGCTTTAATTACGTCCTTTCCACTCACCTACCCGGCCATCATGCCTCGAAGATGGAGGAGGAGCTGGAGGGGGAAGAGGAGGATGAAGACATGCTTCGCGGTGGAACATGCTTCTCCGCAAGACAAACCGCGCCCAGGTGTGTTTTCGTTCTAAAACTGAGAAAAAGAGATGGGCGGCGGAGGGGGGGGGGAGAGGAAGAGAACTCAGCTCTCGAGTTGACCGTCTCACCTCTGTCGGACCTCGAGAAATCGATTGTTCTTACGAGACACCGCCCCACAGCTTGACAATGCCAGTAACGATCTTAAAGGTTCGGGGTAAAATGGCAAATCGAGGGCTTAAATGGTTTAAAATTTTGTCCGTAGATCACCGTGCGCAAAAGCTCTAAGTAGTCAAAGGACAAGTCCAGGTGACATGAAGATTCGGCGGTAAACTGTCATTGAATATGGGGACAAAAATTGCAGTTTCAACTTGCGTAAGAGGAAGGCGATGTACTAATTACTGACTGATCTCGGATGCGGAAGACGAATTTGCAGAAGATACTCTTTCCTCGAATATAGAAGACGTAAATTGCTACCAATTGAGTAAATATTTTGTGCCTGTTCTCCATAAAACATCGAAAATCAACGAGTAAAATGCATGCTACTTAAGTATTCATTTTTACAGAGTATGGTTTTTGCATGCAGCCTGCAAGAAGTTCGTTCTAAAGTCGGCGTCCTGCGGTAATTGAATTATTATAGAATTATGCTGCATGATGATTAGTTTTACAATCCTACTTGATTAATCTTTTTCGGAACGAAAACGCATTTCGGAATTTCGGTTAGCAATTCATGAGTTAGCACACCTACAGTTTAAGTTCATCGAAAATTAATGAGAAAGACTCACGCAATTTAAGTAGTCATTTTTGCGGCGTGTAATTCTTGCAAATAACCAGAAAGGAGCCCGTTTAGAAGCCGGCATCCTGATGTGACTGAAATATTTTAGGATCTTGATACGTGATCATCAGTACTACAACCCTGCTTAAATAAAATTTCTGTAACGAAAACACGTATCAGAATTTCGGTCAACATTTATGAGACAGCACATTCACAGTGACAGTTCGACCGTCGATTTCGACGATGTCCACCGTGAGCTACAAAACAAGGTTCACCAGGCACGGTGACTTTCGCGTGAATCAGTTTAAAGTGATAGTAGACTTGCGCAACATCTGCCGCACTCTCTCTCTCTCTCTCTCCACCACTCCCTACCTGAACCCGGTGTCAAGACAGAGTCAAGGAGACCGGAGGCGTGGGAGGGCGCCAGTGACTGGCACGACCGGACCCGCACCTAGGCGTGCCACCACACCCTCTGGTCCACACGGCAAATGACCGGGATTTTTCGTCAACAACAACAGCACCCCAACCGGGGTTAGAAGTACGAGGATGATGACCGGAGAGTCATGCCCATACCCAGCGGGAGCGTAAGCGCATCTACCGGCAGAGAACCAGGTGTCAGGGAACTGCCAGCGCATGCCAGGCTGCAAGGGCCATGGTTTGCTGCTACTGGCATAGCACACGCTTTTGCTGCAAACTGATGGAAAGGCTAGTTAAAAAATCTATTACATCACTCGATACTTTCCGCTGTCACATCGCCTCAGTTCAACATGGCTTCTGCGAAAAGAGGTCCTGCCTCACAAATCTGCTTTCGTCACTCGAACATTGGTCAAAGGCCATGGATAAAGGACATCCAGTTGATGTCATTAACTTTGACTTCAGCAAGGCGTTCGATTGCGTCCCACATAAGCGCCTCATTCAAAAGTTATCGGAAGTAGGGATAAGAGGAAATCTTCTGAACTGGATTCAAGATTTCCTAAACGGACGGCAACAAAAAGTCACTGCGGGCGGCTACTGCTCAGAATGGGCACCTGTTACGAGTGGAGTCCCACAGGGGTCAGTTCTTGTGCCGCTCCTATTCATTATCTATGTAAATGACCTGGTACGGGAAGTGAAATCAGACATAGCGCTCTTTGCAGACGACCTTAAACTTTGGAGAGCGATAAAAGATGAAGATGACGTCAGGATGCTACAAGAGGACGTAACGAATTTGCACGCATGGAGCGAGAAATGGTGCATAAAATTCAACGTCAAAAAATGTGCAGTAATGCACGTAGTATCAGCTAGGCGAAGAACAAATGCACCCCCACGACAGTATCTCCTGGACAATCAACCACTTAAAACCGTGGATGTGCAAAAAGATCTCGGTGTATTCATTAAAGACGATCTAAACGTCACCACGCAGTGTTCTAAAGTCGCTGCGCGGACAATGTCCGTTATGAGCGCGATACGCAGAACGTTTATTCACTTGAATAAAGATGTCTTTGGCAAAGTATACGGGACATTTGTGCGGCCGCACCTGGAATATGCGGTACAGGCTTGGCGGCCGTGGCTTCGGAAGGATATAGATATCCTTGAAGGTGTACAACGGCGTGCTACAAAGGCTGTTCATGGCCTCAAAAACTTCACGTACGAGCAGCGCCTGACGGCCTCGAACCTCTATCCCCTCCACTACAGGCAGGACAGAGGTGACCTCATAGCAACGTTCCACTTGGTAAAAGGACTTAATCTGGATGTCGACTGGGAAACGTTTTTTGAAATGGCACCCAAGTCCAATCTCAGACGACATGGTTACCAGCTTAAAAAGGAACTGTGCCACACAAATCAACGTTCCTCCTTTTTCTTACAGAGGGTCATTCGCCAATGGAACTCTTTGCCGGAGTTTGTTGTTCATTCTCCTGCCGTGAACGTGTTCAAGAGACAACTGGATACTCACCTGCTGAAAGGCAACCCAAACTGCCAAAGCTTGATCTAACGGATTATTGAAATGACTATAAATATACTACTAACATGATTTCAACAGATCCTATTTTTGCGTCGAACTTAGCCCATATCGAAATTTTCACAGTCCGAATGTGGTGAACAAAGTTTTTCGCAATTATTTTGCGAATATAATACCCCTTTCACCTTTATGTTACATTATTAGATTTATGAATTCTCCCTACTAAAACTGCAAGCAAAAGTTTTGCAATTTAACTATTTTACTTCATACCTGTACCCTCTAAACGCAGTTTTCATGGCTTCTGTTGTTTACTCCAAATATACTGACTGATACTGACTGAACACATCTACTGTATAAGTGATTTGAGACATGCAGTAGATTTGAAAGGACGTTTGGCGGCATTCGACAGTTGCCGAATAGGCAGTGATTCAATAGCATGTTAGCATGGCAAAATTAAAAAGACTATTTGGCGAGCAGGTGTCTGATTTCGACGAATCGTTATCACACTGGTAACGGACTTAATTAGAATCTATGGATAATAAGAGAAATAGAGTAATGCTCATCTAATACCAATGACAGCCGGGGAGTATGAAGGGATAATTGGAGGCAGTCCGTTTCGATGTAGTCAAGTCACTGTCATTATAATGAATGGGGACGAGGCTTGTGAAAAGCCATGCTAGATGTGGGGGGTGGATGGCATAAAAAACTGCATGTAGTTAACAGGTTAGGTGACCTTTGGTTATGGTAGATACGGGGCCTGTACGAAGTACTCCTGTACGAACATGACCAGCTTTCCTAGCCTGACTGCGGTCGATCCTGACGTTATTAGTCCGCACCCGAGTCCTTAACTGACGAAATGTAAAAGTTGTTGTTGGTTCTTGGCGTGATAATTACTCGGCCATCTGGCTCAATGTCACCGGAATTGTCGATCTTCCGAACCCTCCCCGCGTGACTCATTCTAATGCTCAGGCAAAGTATTTACACATTATAAAGAGCTGTGGGGTCATCGCACTTGTTGATCGACTGGAACCCCGAAAAGCCTGACCCAGGCAGCTCGCGGCCCACACGATCATCACCCCTTGGGAGAATATCGGCCTCTTCAAACTTGAAAGTGTGGGGGGGGGTACCGAAAGCCGCGACTTGAGAGTTGGCGTCATTTCTCCCAAGTGCTGCTGCTGCTGCTGCATGTTCTGCCATTCGCGTCCAGAGTAATTTCCCAGTTTCTTCGACGTAGTTGCTTTCTCCATAGCTACACCAGATCCGGCGCGGAGAGGGCGAGGGGACTGACAATTTCAGTAACAACAGACTAAATTGCCGAGTCATTATCACGTCAATAATCCAGAACAATGATTGCGTTAGGCAAATAACGACATAAGTGCGGACTAACAAGCGACAATCACATCAATGACGACACCTAGCGATGAATGGTGTAGCCGCCAATAGCGTGCGACATGTGGTCGCGTGGTGACTGCTTCCCATAAATACTGCATTCTTTGTGCCTCCACAACCCTTATCTGCGACGGTCTCTGATGATGAGCTCGAGCGAGTATTCGAGACGTCAGGCTGATAAACCTCTTGTTCAAGCGATCACGTCGTCGTCATCATCATCATCATCATCACCACCACCACCACCACCACCACCACCACCACCATCATCATCATCATCATCATCATCATCATCACCACCACCATCATCATCGTCGTCGTCGTCGTCATCATCATCATCAGCAGCAGCAGCAGCAGCCTCCTCCTCCTTCTCCTCTTCTTCTTCTTCTTTTTATTCTAAACTGTATCATGCATTTCACCTTTTTATTTCCATCGAACCTCGGAAAGCTTTCTTGGGGTACACAAGATAGCCTGAAACAATCAGTTGTGCGAGAGTAGTGCTGCTTTTCCCCTAATTTCGTCAATTTTCCAGTCACGTTGGGCGGTGATCACTTATCCTCCTGGATAGGCGCAGACTCGTGTAATGCGGAACTGCACAAGGGGCAACCTGAAAAGTTCTAGCCGACGAGGGCATCCCATGCCCAAGGCAGTTTTTTTGGCGTGACGCGAACGGCCCGCCTTAAAGTATTTCAACATATGGGTTATATGGGTAGTGCTTCTCAGTCGACGACTGAGTGGTTACCCGGCCTTTGAAAGGTGATGGCCTAGGCCAAATGCAGGCCTGTCTGTCTCACCCTTGAAGGCAGTAGTCATCCTGTGCGTCTGGTTTGTCATGCTTCAGCAACCACGGCCCTCGTGTGCGCCTGATTCCCTGCCGGTAGGTGCGTTTGCGCTCCCGCTAGGTCCACAGGCCATGTTCATGTTTGCCAAGCGAGTTGTGGCATCCTCCTCTTGAAAGGCTGCCAACTGATGGATAACTTGGACTTCCCAGTCGGACCGGTGTCGTGCGTTTTTGTGGAGTGCCGACTGGTGGTCTGAGAGTCAGACTGCAATGGCTCCTGCATAAGGTGGCCTCTATGGTACTGCCCTTTCAAGGGATGCGAGTCGGGTATGTCGGCACGCCTAGGAGCGGCCCTGGCTGCGCCCGCCGATCCCCTTGTTTTTCGTTTGAATCTAAATCCTGGGCAGTGTGTATTGTGGATCAGCGTTGCTGCTACAGGTCCAGTTACAGGTTTTTTCCGTGTCACTTTACGTTCCAAGCAGTCTCCTCATACTTTTCTTGGGGTGAAAAATCCTGGTCAGTGTATATTTGTTGACCAGGAAGCATTGTGGTACGCCTAGGTGCGGGTTCATTTTCTGAAGAGACTACCGCTGTGTAACTTGACGGTACATTTCGAACAGTTTCAGGCCCTGATCTTGCGCACTCTATCAATGATGACTATATCAAGGTGCAATTCTCGACAACTCAGGATTTCCCGAATAAAAAGTCGGAGTAGACAGAGTTATTGGACAACCTTTACTTGGCGAGAGAGCAAACGCACGGCTCGGCTGGCTGAGGCCAGGGTTATTTTCACCAGCTGAGTGCCAGTAGTTTAAATGTTTGCCTAAGCACAAAGTATGTACCTAAGCCTGAACTTCATGAGACTACGACCAATCGCTGAGGACAAAACTATCGATCGATTTCATGGTGTCAGCGAGACGAAAGTAGGGTGACAGGCGAGCGAGCAGGATTCAAGGTTCCCGGTGGTACGTTCGACTTTCCTATCCTATGAACACAATCGTCCAGGTGTCTTCCGCCTAGTGTTCACTTTGGGCCCCGACCTCTACAAATGCCCTCCAGGATTGGCCGCTGATTAGTCAGGTAACTGACCAAAACCATCCCTCGCAACCACCACCACCACCACCACCACCACCACCACCACCACCACCACCACCACCACCACCACCACCACCACCACCACCACCACCACCACCACCACCACCACCACCACCACCACTTCCACCGCCAGCAATGCGGACTCGATCCAAACCTGTCCTCATTGCCATCGCACCTTCAGCTCGCGCATCAGTCTGGCCGGTCACTTGCGAATTCGTCACACAGAGAATGGCGAACCGGTTTCTGAAACACCGACACACCGCTGCGGATGTCCGCAGTGCCACGCACATTCATCCATCGCACGGGCCTACTTGGTCACATGAGCCTCCATGATAATTTTGGGCGAACCATTGCAAACCCAACATCACAATCACACATCCCCAACCACCACATAGGCCACACACGAACCCCTCCCACATCACCGACCACATATGCGTGATCTTAGTCTCCCCTTCCATGTGGCTCTCCTGCTACTCTACCATACGTGAGATCCGAGCACTTCATCCCTATATGTGAAATCCTGGTATATTGCGTGAAAGGTCAGGTCATATATGCTGCCCGCGCGGGCGGGGAGGCTGTTTCTGGCTCCACCAACCACTGTGTCCAATCTCTGATCGACTCAGACAATCGACTAGCGCACGGAAGAGGGAAGAGAGAGAGTGAGGTCGAACATCAGCTCTTTTTCCTCACTATCAAAAATCGGATGCACTTTTAGATTATCGTGGTGCGTTAAAAGCCGTGGCTTGGAAAGCCACCGACTTACAGAATAACTTGGTCGTCTCCTCAAAACGGAGAGTCAGACTGCAGTGGCCCCTTCTTAATGTGGCACTCAAACTCAGCTGGGACCCGAGTCGCATCTCTTTGTTGTGTGAAGCCCTGACCATTTGCGTGCGGACCAAAGAATGTGGTGACAAGTCAAGATGCGGGATAACGCCGTGCCAGATTCCTGCCTCCGGTCTCCTTGACTTTATTTTGACACCGGGCTCAAGTCGGTAAGGGAGGAGAGGATGCGGTAGGTACAGAAAAAGTCCACCATTATTAGCAGTTCGACCGTTGTTACTGACGATGTCCATCACGGGTTCAACAGGAGCAGGGACGGTGACTTGCGCAAGAAATCGTTTAAAGTGCTGGTAGACTTACGCATCGGCTACCGCCTGGGTGGTTTGCCATGACAGAATCGAGAAGACGAGAGAGGGTGAAGGTGACTGGCACAGCGAAAACCCGCCTCTAGGCGCACCACTCCATACTTTCTGTTCCACAACGTACACCGACCAGCATTTTAAACAAAAAGAAATGGAAAGGGTAGCGACTTGAATCCCAAATGGCGCGGCCTGGGTCTGCACATCGGTGCGCCGCCTCAACTCATTGTTGACATTTCTTTAGGTGCACATTCCAAATAGCGCCTGCTGGACTTCGATCTAACCCTACCCCTGTTTATCCAGCACATCTACCATGTGACCCGTTTTAGGGGAATATCTATTATCAGTATAAAGGAATTCACACTAAATTCACCGTCCCTGCGTCAACTCTGCCGTGGGTCACACGGTGAACATCGTTAGGAATGACGGTCAAATTGTTAATTGAGCAAAAAACTCAATTAAATTAACAAAACAAGAAGAACGGTGTGTTTATATTCTGGCATTACGGACAGCTATTCCGACTACCTGTCTTCAGGGGCTGGGTAGTTGACTGACTAGAGGGAGATGCAGTGCGTGACAGATCTCATGAAATGTTGGCTGAAATGCTGAAATGCGTTTTCGATTAGGAAGGATTACTTGAGTGGATTTGTAATACTAATTATTTTGTGGCATAATCCTATAGCATTTCAGAATCGGCAGGATGTTGACGTTTGAGTGCACTTTTTGACCTCTTGTAGAGACCGTTCTCGGTAAAGAATGACTACTTAAGTAGCGTGCATTTTTCGAATTGATTTTCGATGATCTCACAAATTCAACTATTTTTTTTATGGAAAACGTGCACAAAATATGCTTTCTGTTACTTGTTTGGCAAAAACTAGCGCTGTCTTTACACTTTATGCCCGAAGAAGAAGCATAATTAGGTCTCAAAAGGGTTTACTAATCCCAGGATAATTTGGGGCCTGATCAGCCGTTTCATCAACGCTTAGTGATTTCAGTCTACAAGTTGCATGCGTTCCATGTATAGAAAATCACACATTTTTCTATGCCTTCAAGAAGATAGCATATAGAGTCTATAAAATTTTGCAATGGATGCGGACTATATTGTGCATTTCATGAGGGGCAGTGGTAAATGGACAGGTACGATGCCGTGAATGGACATTGCACGGACTTAAATATCTCAAAATTAAAAACTTTTTAAAACCGAATTATACTCCTTCCTCAAGTATACAACAAAAAGACGCCGTTATTCTCTATCAAATGAGCAAAAGAAAACACTTTTTGTCTATTTTTATGATATATATTTGAATTTATAAGACCATCGAAAATCAGTGCGAAAAATGCATGCTACTTAAATAGCCTTTTTTTTTACCGAGAACGGTCTCTACAGGAGGTTGAAAAAAGGCGCATTCAAACGTCGACATCCTGCTGAGTCTGAAATGCTATAGGATTATGCCACAAACTAATCAGTATTACAAATCCACCTAAGTAATCCTTCCTAATCGAAGACGCATTTCAGAATTTCAGCCAACATTTCATGAGATCGATCACGCACTGTATCTGAGTAAGGTACTTTCAGGAGGTCATCGAATTGCTCCTTGGGTGCTTTTGTAAGCCTTGCCGTATACATATCTTTGATGATCATCACCTGCGCAGTCTTTAGTCAATCCTCATTTCTTGTCACCTTAGCGACCTAATCGCTGATGCTGCAGGACTGTTGACCAGAGCAATCTTTCCGGTAGTTCACCTTGTCGAGGACAGCAACAGACTGGTCTTGCGATGCTGGTACCTGTCTTCGAAGCTTTCTAAACCGGAAGGTCAGCATATGGCTGCTGGGACAGTGAATGTGCCTTAAACATCGCAATAATCAGGCTAAGGCCCAGATAGCAGGAGAGGACCGAAGATACCAGCAGAAGGGGTTTATTCAACACAGAGGCCTGGCAATGCTTTCGGTCTGTCTAGAAGGATAGTCGACAAGGCAAAGATTGTTGCTTTTCAACTTCCTCGGAATTTAATTGCGAACTTGAAGTAGGTCAGCGTATACCAAGGTCTATAGGCGCAAACCGAAATTTGATACCCTGCTGCGGCAGGATATCGACGAAACACGCGTGTCTGGTCCATGAAATCGCATTTTTTTCTTCGTCTTTCTCGGGGGATGTTAAGCACGGTAATATATCTGGGCCTCGAATCTTCACGCATATATATATATGATGGTAGGGGGCGCTCACCGATCGTTCTTACGGAACTCACTCGTTCCGTTGTGCCTTACGGACTCTCACTCGAGCTCAACCAGCAGCCGCACAGCAGCGCATGATATAGGCAAAATGATATTACCGACAATGACAAGGAAGACTGGAATGGCCATTTCTGGCTTATTAGCCGTCGTCAGCCAGTCATACCCAAGCCCGAAGTGTGGAACACCCGAGGCTCCCGAGGTTTATTTAACACAGAAGCCTGATAATGCTTTCGGTCTGTCAAGAAGGATATTCGACAAGGCAAAGATTATTGCCTTTCAACTTCCTCAGAAATTAACTGCAAACTTGTAGTAGGTCAGTATATATCAAGGTATATAGGTTCAGCCTCCTCCTCCTCCTCCTCCTCCTCCTCCACCACCACCACCACCACCACTGCACAAACGGCGGCCGCTCAGGCAGCCGTCTCGCACATCTCCGACCGCGACACAACAACCGGCACCACTTCCGCCTCTCCTGACTCCAGCAATGAGAATCAGGACTACACCTGCCATCACTGCGATCGCACCTTCACCTCACGTATCGTCCTGGTCGGTCACTTGCGAATCCATCGCACAGAGACCGGCGAACCAGTACCTGAAGCACCAACCTACACCCACCGCACTCGCCTTCACTGCCCACACTGTCCTCGCACCTTCACGCATCGCATGGGTCTATTCGGCCACATGCGCATCCACGAGAGCGGAATCGACCACAATTCCGACACACCAACCACGCCCATCACGCCCAGCACCACCCTCGCACCGTCCATCTGCGCCACCACCAACGCCTCCTCTGTAGCTGATTCTGACACCGCCGACTTCACGTGCCCACACTGTCCACGCACATTCACCTCACGCATCGGCCTGGTCGGTCACTTGCGAATCCATCGCACAGAGACTGGCGAACCAGTGCCTGGAGCACCAACCTACACCCACCAAGCTCGTCTCAACTGCCCACACTGTCCTCGCACCTTCACGCATCGCTTGGGTCTATTCGGCCACATGCGCATCCACGACGACCTGCGGTAGACAACCGCCGGTTACACCACATATCCACACACTCCCTACCCTCCTCCACCATCACCAACACACATCAACACTTACCCACCGCATGCACCAACTGCCACCTTCCACGCAAGTGGGAAGTGTGCATCTCGACTCGGTTCCCACGCGGCTTCGGCTGTACGAGTGACTTGAGTCCGAGACTATCCCGACACTTCAAGTGTCGTGGATAGGAAGGTTGCTGATTGACGCCCGCTCTCGGTTCACGCAGTTCGTCGCGTTGTGTGTGTGTGTGTGTGTGTGTGTGTGTGTGTGTGTGTGTGTGTGTGTGTGCTGTGTGGAGTGGCGGACTGGTGGGCTGGGAACGGGCTGAAGCAGCACCTTCCACGGCCCTCTCACGCATGTGAGAGACACGCCGTTCAACCCCCGTTGTGTGAAATCCTGGTGCTTGTGTGTGTATGGGGGGCCAGGTCGTGCTGTGGCGCGCGTAGTCACGGTCAGTCGACCGTGGCAGCCACCGCACCCATCCACCACTCCAGTTTGCCGACCGGCTCGGACGGCGGCTGGGGTGTGGGAATGGGAAGGGAGAGTGAGGTCGACGACTCAGCGCACTTTTTCCTCACTATAATCAATCTGACGCGCTTGAAGCTATCACGGTGCGCTAAAAGCCGTGGCTTGGAAGGTTGCCAACTGACGGGGTACCTTGGACCTCCTCCTTAACGGGAAGCGGTCTGAGAGTCAGGCTGCAATGGCTCCTTTTTAATGTGGCCTTTATGGCACTCCCACCACAGTGTGGGATCCGAGCCAGGCGTTGGCGGCACGCCTAGGTGCGGCTTCGGCCGTGCCAACCTCCAAATCTCTGCTGTGTTGGTTGAAATCCTGGTCATTGTTGTGTGGACCAGGGGGTGTGGTGGAACGCCAAGGTGAGGATCCGTCCGAGCCATCCACCTGCGGCCTCCCTCGTCTCCGGTCTTCTTGACTCTGTCTTGACACCGGGCTCGGGCGAGGGAGGAGGAGAGAGTGTAGGTAGATGCAGCGCAAGTCTACTGGCACTATAAACCCCTGCGCAAGTCACCGTCCCTGCTCCAACCTGCTGTGGGGCACACGGTGGATATCATCGAAATCGATGGTCGAACTGTCATATAGGTGCAGACTGAAATGTGATGCCATGCAGCGGCAGAATATCGACGAAACACGCCTGTTTGGGCTTTTAGTGAGTACATGTGCTGCAAGTATGGCATCCTGAAACCCTAAAGGCACAGATTTCCAAATGAAAAATTGGGGTGACAGAGATAGTTGGAGTTGATAGGGCAGAATCGGCTCAGAAGGCAGAAAATGTTCAACTGGACAGGTCACTTGTACTCTCTCGGCCACAGCAAAGGTTGTTCAACTAGCTCTGTTTCCTCGACTTTCCATTTTAAAATCACCGCGATGTCGACCCTTACGTCCTAACAGTTGGTGACCCCGGTGTGTTACCTACACGTAACCTTCTGACTTCAGATATTCTCGACACGCAGTTGGCGGTGGGCTTATGCACGTCTCTCCACATGGGGAAGACTGTCTGGTGGAAGAAGAGGGTTTGAGTACGGTTTTTCGATAATGTTATTCATCCTACATTACGCGCCGCTATGCGGCTGCCGGTTGGGCTTGAGAGAGGGCCCCTAAGGCACAACGGAGTGAGGCACAACGAGTGAGTTCCGCAAAAACAATCGGTGAGCGTCCCTCTACCATTGTATATTCCCGATCGAAACCGACATGACGACGAGCCCGTGGCTCAGTGGTTAGAGACGTTGGACTTCTAACCAACATGTCGCGTGATCGAGCCCCAAGTGTTCCACACTTCGGGGTTGGGTATGACTGGCTGACGACGGCTAATGCACCAGAAGTGGCCATCCCAGTCTCCCTTGCCTCTCTCGGTAATGTCATTCTGCCTATAAGGAAATCAGCATCGAGGGCATTTTTAGCCTTATTTTCGATTGGGTATCTAGTGTCGCCCTCTTCTTGGATTCGAAAAGAGACATATGGACTATAAAGCGGGGTCAAATGGACAAGCTTAGTGACTTTACGCTCTATAACTCACCCCTTGTCATTGCATTGCACTGGATTGCCTCATTCCACTTACTCTGTAAGCCATTTATTTCATACAGTAAAATGAATTAGCACAATTATTCGTATAAACGTCAGCAAGTTCAGAGCAGGATACATTTTACTGTTTAAACCGACGAAGACCAATCTAATCCAGCAAGTACAGACGGTGACTTATGCGTGAATTAGTTCATGGCAAAGCAGACTTGAGAAGCACCTACTGCACTCTCTCCTCCCTCACCCACCGGGGGACGGTCGCCATGACGATTGGAGGCGAGCTTGGACGTGGTCGTTGACAAGACTAAACAGGCCGCCTGCGCGAACCACACACGGCCTGGTTCGTCCACGAGGAAACAGGTTCTAACTGAAACAAAGAAAGCGGCTTGCATTCCAGCTGACTGGGAATGCCACAGAGATCACATTAGGAAGGAGCTATTGCAGATTGGCCGAGTTATCTTGTCAGCTGAAGTGCCGTGAAGATGGATTCCCCAGAGATAACCTCATTCTCGCTTCCCTCTGACATGCACCAGTCTACTCTCCGAACCGGCCGACCGTCTGACACTGCGATTGGGCGCACGTGGCTGGCGCGGCGTGGACACGCGTCTAGGCGTGCTAGCACACCCCCTCCATGTGTGGTCTTTTTCTGAGGGATGCACAGACACTGCGAAGCCTGGTTACGCGTGCCAAGCCTTTATCTGACCACCGCGTTGGTCCAGCACATCTCATGGGTGGCCGTTGTGGGGACGTGGCCAGCAAGTAATCTTAAGTAAGTGTAAGAAAGACATTTCGAGGGCGAATGGCTAACCGTGTGAGCTACGTGAGGGCTAGTCATGATCAGTAGATGTATTGGTTGGTTGATTCCTGAATTAGCAGGCGCCTGCAATGGACTGCCTCCAGAGCTAATGAGCATGCACTCCGTCCACGCGAAAGTGACAATCACGTGATTTTGTGCGTGGGGGGGGGAAGGGGGGCTCAGGGCCGGAAGGCGTAGGTGAGCTTGAGGAGTCCAAATCTGGCTGAAATACGTTTGTTTGAATAGGTCGAAGAGGCGTTCACATTCTCACTTCAGCCAGGGCATTTATGCTAGGACTGTTAATTTACATTCTAGCTTAATGATTTGTGAACAGTGCTTAGTGATGCGTAAACATTTGTTTATCAGGGTAAGTAAAAGCAAAGGGCTACTTTGTCATGTTGGTGGCCCTAGACAGTATTAGTGACCATTGCTGTTAGACCCTAATAACGATGATGTATCCCCACCTCCGGATAGCGATTTCCAATTAATGTCAATGTTAGTTTACAGGCATGAAAACTTGAAAAAACGGTGCGTAGCGCGCTACATAATGAATGATTACTTAGAGTTGCAGCCTCCAAATTATTGTCAATGCCTTGAAGTAGACTAAGGTTCGCATTCCCGCCAAGAGTAAGCCTGTTAAATCATATACCGAATCGTCCCCTTGGACACTGATGACGAGTACATCGATTACGTACCGGCAGGTTGGTTTTGTGAGACATATTTTAACTCACTTGTCGATATCGGCGCAATATCTCAAAAGTTACACGCTACATAGGCGTCAGTGACTTAGGATACGGCCATTATAGTGCCGTACAGTTTATCCAATCGATGGCAACTTCGTTTCGCGACCTACAGTAACCTCATCAGTCCCCCTTGATCTGGCATTGACGGTGCAAGTGCGTGGAGAAGATGACGAAAATTTGCGTATTGGTCAATTTTATTAAATAAAGCTAAGAAGTAAACAAAATGCACACCCAGTCTTAATTTGTGGATGGCGAAAAAAGAGGGGGTTTGGGGGTGGTCTAATCGGCGCGGGCGTCAGCGGCCGAGCTCCCTTGCCAGTTGACTGATTACCCCGCGTATGGTTCACCACTCGGCACCGTGACATCGATCGATGTTTTTGGCACCCGCAGCCAAGAATTGGTCCCGGTACACGCACACACACACACCTTGAAACCCAGCTCGGTTGAATAATTGCTGCCACTGCCTCCTGAGCCGCTTGTGCACGCCCTTGGTGCGATAAAGATCGTCTTACTAACTCCGTTCCACTGAATTTTGATTTGGGAAACCTCTCGTATAAATGTCGTACTTCAACAGATGCCGATCCCGGCGTGTTAAGAACACGCGACGAGGTGACCTTGAGGACGACCTTGATCACTGGGTCAGAGGTTAGCCAGCATTGGCAGCATTGGCCAAAGGCCTCCTCACAGGCATTCAACGAACTTTGTGAGGCCTTGCGAAGGTGGACTACAGTTAACTTAAGCCCGCCGGTGCGGCGTTACTTCACGTGGCGAAAGCTCCTGATATCCTTGAACTCAGGTAGGAGATTAACAGCGCGCATCTTACAACCTTGTGGGAGTTTGGACCTGCACAAATCATTCCTAATCATCATTCTTTTGCCGACCTGTGTGTAGTCCTCGAAACAATTGTAAATTATGCCTTCGACGAGACCGCCCCTGTGTTGACAGCCAAGACGGACCACACAGGAAGCATATCGGGAGATGTAAGGAAAATTGCGCAGTCCAGCAGTTACTTCCGAAATTGGCTGTAGCTCTGCCATGTGTGCAATGTACACGAGTCTATCCTCCAACGAATATGATTAGTATCCTCGGGCTATTCACGCCAGTCAAGTCAAAAGAAGTAAGTTAACCACTAAATGGCGGAGCGCGTAGTGTTAGGCAAAGTTGTGTAAAAGTTTACAGACGTTTGTAGCACAGTACAACAAAAGCACAGTGTGTTCGGTTCTCACGCACAAGGGCCTGGTGATTTAATTCGCTGGGGATTCCACGGCTATTTGTGCAGTAGTAGCTTGCGGCCTCACGCCTTTAGAACAGTCAATGAGCGTATGCGTGCATGCAAACACTGGTAGTTGTTCATCAGCCAAAGATGCCTTGGCAAAATGGTCTCCAGTCCTCGAAAGGCAGCGCGT